AGGTTAGATATCTCCTCCCTAAGACCTTGAAGATGTTTAATTTGTGCAGTATGAGCATCCTTTGCTGCCAAGAACTCATCCTTCTTTTTAAAGACGGTAGTAGTACTATATGTTACAAATTTCCTAGCATATTCTACTATCATCACCTTGTTCTCAAGAGCCAAGAATCTTTTACTAAAATTTGCATAAATGATAGTGAAATTTGCCCAAAATTTGCGCTGAGCAGAAGATAGCTGTGGGGCTCGACTAAGTACTTGAGCTACTTGGAAGGTGGCTTGTTGATCTGGCACTCTATAGAAATCGGAAAGGTCACCGTCAATAAGCTCTTGCAAGGTGAGAATGGCAAACCTAATTTGTTCCTGCGAAGGAAGGTTGACATCTGAGTTTGTCTCCTCGGTGACAATCTTCCTTTTGCTGTTTAGAGCAGATTCTAACTTGACAGGGAGGTCTGCCAACATGTCCAGCTTTGCAAGAAGCTCATTTTCCACATCATCATCATCAATCTCAGTAATATCTGTAATAAAACTTTACAAAAATTTGAAGACAAAAGTTCAAAGAGATCATTTGACAAATACAATAACATAATTCAAAACCTACACAAAATTCAAAATAGTAAGACAACCTCAATGTTATCAATATCATCTACTTAACCGGAGAAGTCACAGGTGTGGGGACATTCTTATTCTCTAGGGTTAGATCAATAAGATTATTTAGTCTAACCACTTTAAAGTTTTTATTAACCATGCATAAAGAAAATCTAGAACCCCTAACTTTTGTGGCTGGTGAAGATTGATCACCAAATTTTGAGTGACTGAAGCCAAAATCATCTTCACCACTTTCGTCAGATTTTTCTTCAACAGGATCTGCTATGGCAACAGTTTTGACAAAAACATCTTCTGCTTGGGTAGGTTGTTGCTAGATTTCGATGGTAGAAGTGGCTTCTGATGGGGATGCAGATTAGATGAGTTTTTTAGATGCAGATGGCTTTACTGCTGACCTCTTGCAAATTCCAGGTCACCTCCTTCCTCGATAACATCTTTTTCCTCAAGTTTTTTAGTGAGTGGTAGAGGTGTTAAAGTAGAAATATCATCCAAAACCCCAAGAAGCGGAAAGAGAAAGTATCCTTGCCACCAAGTCTTTTGTATAAGGAAGTGCAGCTCAGTTGAAAAGGAGGATCTAACAAAATCATGGTCTGGAAGATTTGGGAAATTTCAACAAGTTTTGTGGTTAAAATGTCTGATTCTCCTATCACAAAGCGAAGGGGATAACTGTGGTTAAAGAAAAATAGAGACGGAAATGGAATGTATTAGCAGTATCAAAACTGTTGGTAGAACAAGTTTGGTGCATAAAACTCCACCACATTTGGAATTAAGGGCGTTCATATTAAAGCCTACAAATAGATCTCAGGAAGCCACACATATAGACCAGAATGCTTTAAAATCTAGAGATTGGATATCAGCCTTGCACCAAAAAAGGCTGTGAAATTTACTTAAAAGCACAGTGAAATCTACATCAAGTCTATCAATAGGAAGAGAAGCAAAAAATTTGAAGCATTCCTCAAAACTCTTCTTATTCTCTGCAGCATCTTTGAACATTAAGCCGTAGGTAAGAAGAACTTGACTTGGTATAATAGATAGGAAAGAGCAAGTGTTGAAAAATAAGAATAAAGCCACAATTGCACAATCCAAAGCAGCCCACCACTATTGACTAAAAGGGTAAGCCGTGACATCTTAACAACTTTTGTAAAAGTAGGCAAGCAAAAAAAGACCTAAAGCTAAATGTCTACCGTGAACTAGAGCGGCGACCAAAGGAATAAATTCTTTAGTGGGGCCTTTACTAACAGAACAGACCATGTATTTACAGATTAATGTAAGCAGAAATGAAATATGCTCTTGGGCATTAGTAGACTTACTTCGGTCACAAGCAAATCTCACAAAGGCTGGAAATGAAGGCTTTAGATCTTTGTGGTTGTATTCAATACCTAGTGGCATGGTCAGAAGTGTAGAAATTTCTTCTGCCATGCAAGGTAGTCCGGTCAACGAGCTGATGTTGAAGAGACTCACGGACATGATGCCACATGGGAAGTGGAAGCAATTGAAAGAAACAGTCCAAAAAAGTAAAGCAGAACTCAAGATCGACCTATCAATGATGAATCTACACTTTGTTAGTTGAATAAACTCATACAAGCCCACATCTCTCCAAATTTGGCCGAAATCGGGTTTTAGGTGATCTACCTAGTCAATCCACTTAGATTTTCTCCAAGTTGGCCAAGGTTCGACCTAGCCAACCCACTTGCTCCAATTGGGCTTCACTTGGAAAGGAAGAGGATGGTCTTTTAGTTGTGCGTATACAAGTTTAAAAGGAATAGGTCGAGGAGAAACGAAATACGGACCCAAAATTTGGGATTTCATGTGAGGGACAAACACTTGATCTGAATACCAAGTCTTATGGCATTAGAGGATTAGGTTGATTTCACTTTGGAGATTTTTAGCTTGGAAGAGGCCAACCAGATCTGCAAGGGGCAAGTTTCTTAGGTTGAATAGCTTTGATTTTAGCCATTGTAGAAGTAGATTTAGTGGAAGGAAGCTGACCTTTCTTGTCACCGTCCATGGGAGCAGATCTAGGTGGGAGGATAAAGATGAAGAAAT